CTCTGCCCTGAGTTGAAAGTGTGAAAAAAAAAAAAAGATATGCAATTTGCTCTTTAGAGCTGGCTTCATTCAATTTGTTGAGCCATAATATTTTTTGTTGATTTGGGGTTAGCCTGTTGGGTGAAGTCCAGCACTGTGATTTATCAACCTGTGGTCTGAAGCTCAGTGAGTTGTATGGATTGTTTGCACATGAAACATATGGGGCCTGGATCTGAAATACTGTGAGAAGTGTGTGGTTTAGTTAATAAACCATAGTTAAGAAAACTACAGTTTAGTACAATTGTGATAGACAGCCATGAACTTCCCTGACATTCTCACAATCTCCACTGTTAGACAGAATCCTGGAAAGCTCCTTTAGAGAATGAGATCCATTTGACTTCCTGTTCTCTTTTGATTTCCCTTCTGGATTCTTTGCTCTTCCTCCAGACAATGTGAGAGGGCTTAAAATTCAAAACACTGGTCCCCATGGCAGAGGCATTTCCCTGTCCCCAACTTGCCTGCTGATAATAATGAGCCCAGACACTTTTATTATCATTATTAATTAGCACTTTCAAGCAATGGAATTAAATCAATATGGTGGACTGAAACTAATTTTAACAAGCCATTGAGATCAATCATCAGGACTTTTATCTACATAAATGCCACTAAACTCAGCTCGTTAGTGTAACATTAGTTGGAAAAAAAGGGTGGGGGGGGAGAAAAGGAAGACTGGCGGAGTTTTAATTAGGGAGACATAAACTGTGCCATGATTTTTCTTCTTTGATTTGCTTTTAATCTCATCTGCAAGTTCTGCCAGGAACTCTACTCGATTATTACTCTCTTCAAAGGCAGCAGGGGGAGAAAGGAGAACATGCAAGAGAAAGAAGACCCTCAGATGCACTTGAGGGCGTAACTGGTTCAGAAGACCTCTCCATTTATATTCCTAATGGCTTTCAATTGTCCAATGACTTTCATCTCAAGGTAGAGTAGTCAAGAAAGGTAAACCCAAGGTAAGAAGAATATGAGTGATCCAAAATTCTTTGCGTGGTGGAAGGTTGTAGCCTACAACCTGATGGCATTATATCTCAAGCCCCTCAAAACCAGGAAAGAACATGCAATGATTCTTCCAAGCAGATCTCTTTAATGTTCCTCACCTATAGACAGAATCTTGCCAAACTAAGGAAATCTACTCCCTACATTAATCCTATGGGAACAATTAGAGAAAGGATGTCTTCACCCTATTTCTCTCACACACAAACTATCTGAACTAAATTGCCTCTTAATCCTCTGGAATGCACGCCCTCCCTTCTGAGAATTTGGCCCAATAGATTCTGTTGCATCACCCTATAACAAATTTTGGAACTTCAAATTATGTATTGCTGCATATTTTGGATCAGTCACATTCTACATTTGTGTGTGTGTGTGTGTGTGTGTACCTTCCCTGGTTTCTGCTATAGTATTGTTCCCTATTGATATCCAAATGATACAGATATGAGCCATATGGATCAGTCCTATTTTTCAAGACTGCAGTTCTTAAGACAGTGAAAGATGTATTGCAGGCTAGAAACCTACTAAGAGTCCTCTCTACCCATTGTTCTGCATCCTGCAGTAGCTGCCAAGATTCCAAAACTGGATTTCAGTGACAAATAATTAACATTATTTTTCTATGTGTGGTATTTCAAGGAGATTGGGAGTAACATGCAATAGGTTTATAAACTGCAGGATCTAATCTGGGTTGGTCACCGGTCAGGACAAAACCTCTAGGCCCATGACTGACCCAGATTGGATCCTCCCACCCATTATTCTGCAACATGTATATATGCCTTCATTTGTGAGGTTTGTAAGCCCATGAAAAACTAAAAACATTGTTTTTCTCTAAAATAACCCATCCTATAATGTTCTTTAAAGACTTTAAACATTTCACACCTGCTGATTCTGGTAATCCCATCACATACTGTAATTGACCATTCGGAGTTAATGCAAAACAGTTTCAATAGGTAAGATTCCAGTGAAGAATCCTTCACTGTTGGGAATCAATATTATAAATAAACACTTGACCTTAGAAATATTTGCACAAACTTTCCACATCTGGGAATCTGTTCCTTTTCTTCCCATCTTCTCCAGGTTCCAAAAACATTACATCCATTATGGCCTTATCAGTTTATAGCCTTCTTTCTCCTGGCAATCTGCAGCTACCTCTTTCCCCACATTCTAAAGATGAAAGTTGATCTTCCATAGTGGTGCTGAAATGCAATAGAAAGAAGTGAAATATCCCCACTCAAAAAGTAGGAGGAAAAAAAGTATTTTTTTTTTGTCAGTGAGGTAGTAGTAATGATCAATCATACAGCCATTGCTTATGCTTCATGACCCAATGGACATGATTTGTCAGGACTGTCTGTCAGTAACTTTGGTAGTCTTCAGACAGCTTCTTTTTCAACTGCCTTCAATTTTGCCCAACATCAGAGATTTCTCTAGTGACTCTTGTCTTTATTTTGTATCCAAAATATTGAAATGTTACATTCATCATTAGTGCTTCTAGTCATACGAAGTATCAAATTGCCATAAGAAAGAGGCAGAATATCCATCACTTTATTTGTGGGAGAAGAAAACTTTCAATAAAAGTAAAAGCATTCTGACATTTAAAGGAGAATATTTGTACCTCAGAGTTGAAATAAGGGGTCCTTGGTGCTCACTGAGTTTGGTTGTTTTCTTGCAGAAGTTTCATTACTCAGATTAGGTAACATCATCAGTGCTGATCTCTTCCTCCCACTCACTCAGCTCAGGCCCCAAAGACAGCTGCCTCTCCACCTGGGGGAGGACAGAAGGCCCCTGCTCTGCATCTGCTTCTGATCCTGCTTCCTCATGAGAGCCTTCCAAAGGCTTGGAAACTGACCCAGGCTCCCCCTCAACTTCCTCCTCATCTGACTCGGGCCACGACAGATGTAGCTAAACATGACTATGTTCGTGCAGTATAATCATAAAGATCTAGGCGCATTTGGAAAATATGCTAAACTTGGGTTGAGCAGTAATACAAATCAGTTTAAGATTCTATGTGTTGTGCAAACCTAGGAAATGGTTAATGCTAACCAGATTAAGCAAGATGCATGAACATGCCCTTGTGTATGTACTGTCATTCAACATATATATTCCAACACAGCCATGTTTGTTTACATTTATAGATTTATTGTGGCATAATCTTCATGAGTAAACTCTGTTTTTGAACCAATGTATAAATGGTCATAAAAAACAATAAATAGGGAAGCCTAACTGCCACAAAATAAGAGAAGTAAGAAAATGTCTACATAAAGCTCAATTGATTATTGCAGTAAACCAAACAGCATAAGTCAGCAATAATGTGCAATCCACCTAAGCTTTTGCCACAGAGGAGAAACCTAATCCTGAATAAAGTAGCACAGATTGCACTATTTGTGTACTAGTGCAGTAGTTGCAGTGCATTGTCAAAATCCCAAATCAAGCAGAGCTGTATTTGCTCATAAATTTAGCAATGTTGGGACTTCCAGAGAAGCAATGGCAAACTGCAGATAGCTGAGATGACAACTGCAACCAAAGAAGAGCCAGAAAGTAGAATGGCTCTTTATAATGTCAGAGATTATACAAGTGCTTCATATAGTTGCATCTTGCAAGGAGACTGCAAGACGTCAGCTCCAGTGTGTTTAGAGCTCTGGATGATGAGGGGGAAACCATGTTTTTACACAAACCACAATCAACGATGTCCAAAGGGATATTAGGTTCACATACTTCCTTTTCTAATCACTTTTGGAAATAGTTTGTTTACTACTTATCAGATATTATGAACCTTTGGATCAACAGGTTTTACAGCATCTGAAAAGTTTTCTTCAGTCCTTAACAAAAGATGTTGTACATACAAGTTTAAGAATTTTAAAACTTTTTTTAATAAACAGCATTTATTTTTGAAAGTTACAAATGGACTAAGCATCAAGATAAATTTGGAGATTTTGGAATTAATTATAAGAATCCTTCCTGTGGGAAAATTCTTTTGTTTAGGATTCTCTTTTTAAAAAAACAAGAGAGGATGAGACTATTAATGATGGACACTAGAGGGAACAAGAAAGAACTAAATTAAAGGAGAATAATACTTAGAGCTGGCTTACTAATAAGAATAGAGCGAAACGGACATACTGAATGATATTTTTGCACAATGAACCAGTTGTTAATTTTAGGAATGTCTGCCATTTTGATAGATTTATTGGACAAAACATTTCCTGAACAAGACAGAAGAAGAGGAACAAGTTTTACCAGACAAAACTGAGACTGATCTGAAAATGGATTTAAAACTGGCAGATTACAAGAATGATATGGAAAAAGATACTACATCGGATATACAAATGAAACCAGTTGATGTTTTAATAATTAAAAGGATATACAAATAACAAACCAAAAGAGAGATCAAAACAACTTTCCTATGTTGGATTTACAAAAGACATTTATTAAAACATTGAAGAATTTTGTGAGAAAGGATAAGGGAAAAATGGGGGGGGGGTTCTAGATTATTATTTAAAACAACTAAACATCAAGATTGTTAAAAGTAAAAGGAAGAAATATAAAGTTGGTTTATTTCATCAAGATTAAAATAGATATATTGTTATCTCTTAACGGGCTTTTGCTGATCAGAACTGAATGATGGATTTGTTTCTAGGTAAGACATGGGACAGGGAAAAATTGTTCATTTTTTTGTATTTTAAGAGAAAGTGATACTTGTGATGAAGGGGAAAGTCATTTCTTTATATTTTTCTTTTCATTTTCTTTTCTTTACCAACTTTCTATTTTTTTCTGAACTTTTTATTCCTTTATAGTATATAACTATTTATTAATTTGTATTTGTTAACATTTTTAAATTGTGATTTCTAATAAAATTACTATAAAAACTTTAGCAATGCCACACAAGACTCTTATCTGGAAGATTTTGTGAAAGCTGATGACATCGCCTTGTCCTTTCACTAATACTGCTATTTTAAAACTGTTCATTTATTATTTTGCAGAGACTGACTTACTTGACTATGCAGATCCAGAAATGTTGACAAGTGACTGCATATGTCACATTGAAGAATAAGCAACCACAGAACTCTGAAAGAAGGAGAAGCAAATATTTTAAGCAAAGGAAGAGTAATGCGGTGAGATCCACCACACTGATATATGACTAATAAGCATCTTTCTGCACTTTGTGCTCTGGAGGTGAACTGAGAAAGAAAGGACAAATGCAATGAGAAGGATAGCAAACTTCTAACCTGAAACTCCTGTTCTATCAGGAACTGCAAAAACCTGATAGAAAAAATGAATCTCAACAAAGTTCTTTTAAACTCGACTGTAATCAAAGGCTATAAAAGTGTCAGATGTTAAGATTAGCAGTTGATGAATGACCCTGCCATAGACCAAGACTCCTTCTCCCCTTTCAAGGCCTCAGTTAGTTTAATATATGAGCAGCCTTGAAATACAATTCCTTTAGGATTCTCTTGATTGTGGTTGTCTAAGGTGGGAACATTTCCACCTCCCACTTTGGGTGCGGTCAAAAAGGTTAAATCTCTGGATCAAATGTCGCACATAAACCACAGACTCCTAACCTTTGCAGTTTCCTGAGGGTCAGAATCAAGAGTGAGACCTGCTGAGAGAATAATAGTTCCTAAAAAAACCTTTACTATTCAGGAACTCCCATCTATGACACCATGGCTACATCAGAGCATTTGGCAGAACACCTGGATTAGCTCTCCTAGGGCAAATGGAGCAGCCAAAAAAGCCAGTGCAAAGCTTGGTTGCAAAAATAGAGGGATAGAGTCAAGATCACATGAAGTATTAGTTCTGCTTTAGAAAACTTTAATAAGACCACATCTGGAATACTGCATCCAGTTTTGGTTACCACATTATAAAAAGATGTTAAGACTTTGGGGGGAAAAGTGCAGAAAAGAGCACCTAATATGATTAAGGGCCTTGAGACTAAAACATATGAAGAACAGTTGCAGGAATTGGGTATGGCTAGTATGGCTAATCTAGAGAAAAGAAGGACTAGGGGTGACATGATAGAAGTGTTCCAATATCTAAAGAGCTGCCACAAGGAAGAGGGGATCAACCTATTCTCCAGGCAAGTCAAGAAACAATGGATAGAAATTATCAACAGGAGAAACTTCCTAACAATGAGAACAATAAACCAGGGGAATGGCTTGCCTTCAGAATTTGTGGGTGCTCCATCACTGCAGGCTTTTAAGAAGAGACTGGAGATTTTAAGAGATTTGTCTGGAAAGGTCTCCTGCTTGAGCAGGGCATTGGACTAGAAGACCCCCAAGGTCCCTTCCAACTCCGTAATTCTGTAATGTTCAGTGAGACTACAGATTTCCTTTATAGAAAAGAAAAACAAATGTTTAGTTCTACACTTGAACATTTCTGGTTCCTTCTACTGTGTTCTGTTGCTTGTGGTTCACCATGTTATCTTAGTCTACATAGAAGGGCTATTTAAAGCTTAGTTGATTTGACCAGAAGACCCTTTGATCAAATGTTCCATTCGAATCAACTTTCCAAATAGCATCAAATGCATCTCTATCCATTTGATGATGAAAAATATGTACATATGCCTTTTAAAAACAGATTTGGAAAATTCCATTAATTTTCCAAATGGATTTTGGGATCAAAGCCAATTTGTACATCCCAGTTAAACAAGTTTGGGAGCTGCCTCCATAGTGCCATATTTTCTTTGAATCTTAGCTTCATGTAGACAGTAGAAATATAAATAAAACCTTGAAAAATTCATTTTGCCCCCTTGGTAGTTACTTGTCAGAGATTATCACTTACCATCTGGAGAGAGCATCAAAAGAATTGATGTAAAATGAACTTGCCCAAAGGATTAGAAATCTGTCACTGTAGTGGCATGATTGGGTTGTAAGCTGTGACTCCTTTTGTCAAACATGCTCTGCAAGAATTATTCTAAAAATGAATGATGGGTGAAATTTGGAGTGACTTGGCACATTATTTAGAAAGGCGTTCAAAATACAATTAAATTGAAATGGAAGGGTACCAGAAATAGGAGGGAAATGTTTGGAGCAGGACTGAATTTGGTATTTTGGCTGTTAGGGTTGTTGTTAGAGATCACTGTGTAATTTTATCCTAAGAAAAATCAAATAGATGTTGCCACAATAGACCAATTGGTTCAAAGCCAAACCAAAAGAGAACACTGTTTTGCCTCTGCAGTGGAAATATACATTTGTGAAAGATTTGATCCTATGAGGATCACCATCAGAGATGATCTTGGACAACTATTAGAGTCCATGCCAATCACCAGTTTTCTTTTCCACTTCCTTGTTGTTATTGATTATCAACTGTTTGTTTTTGAGCAAGCAAGGAAGCAAACAAGCAAACAAAGAAGCAATGAGTTGAATAAAAAAGAACTCTCATCCAACATAAAATTCAGATTGGGCTCAGGGGAAGAATAATGTAGATAGGCAGCAGCCATGATGAAAGGTGGTTGTACCCAGGGGCAGGGGCTCAGAGGACAGCATCCCATCAAAGGTTATCCCTGACATCTAAAACAGACTTTGGCAACTACTATGCATTTCTTGATATTGTGGGAGCTGCAAGTCAAGAGATAGGCAACTGGCAACCCTGTAGATGTTTTGGAGTTCAATTCCCATCAGTCAGCGGAAACAGCAGCAAGGGACTTTGTTAGCTGTAATCCATGCTGCCCCCGCCCAGCTAGGTCCTCCAATATTATTATTCAGTGGTTTCCAAATATGAGCTAATGCTTCTATACCAAAGGCCTATGAAGAGAGTGGGATGGGAAGAGTGAACAATACTGAAAACATCAGAATGGCATTGGGATTTTAAATCACTGAGCTTGCCTGTCAGCCAATTTCTCTGCAGAAAGCTCTTAGCAGTTAATTTCTGGGTAATTTATTATCCTTCAGCTCAGCCCCACAGTGCCATTAACAGTACAGTGACATGACTGAGTGAAATATTGTCTAATTTATTATCTTATTACTCCTCTGGAACAGGATCAATTAATTACCCATTAAAGTATTTCAGTTGCAAAGATTTATTAGGGAGCTCGGCATTTTAACAGATGATTAGTTATATATGTTTGTTTGCCTGAGAAGCACAACCAGAGGGGAAAAAGAAAGGGGGGGAGACACGGACTGCGTTAGGAGGGAGCTAATGGATCTTTTCTGGACTCTCTGAAAATGGAGCAGTCAGTGACAAGAATTATCGACTCATTCGCTTGTGGCTTGGAGATAACCATATGTACAGGAGAGGGGGGTGGAAGTGGTGGTGGGAGAAGAGAGAGCAAATGAAGGGGGGGAAAACTCTCATGCAATACTTTTTTTTCTGCTCCTCCATTCAATAAATTTGCTTCAGAATATATTGGATTGAGGTTTGATGGCTATTTCGTGTTTTGCAGAGTGCTGACACCGGTATGATTCAGTAATTATTGTTTCTTTTAAGTTATTGCTGTAATTTTGCTTTCTAAGATCCCAATCAATTCCTGCCTCTCAAGGGCACGCTTGAAAAGCCATATTTGAAAACGGCCCTCTGATAGATTGCGCCGTTAGACAGTGGCGGAGACAAATAGCCTAATCTGGCAGAAATTAGCTTGGCTTCCACAGATAGTTTTATACAGCGATGTAAATTATATTGTCAGGGCCAGTCACTTTCCTGCTTAGAGTGCAGCTAACAAGAAGCCATGGAGATATTACGCTCATCCTTGGAGCGAGCTGTGGCAAAGACATTTATAAAAGGGAGAAGGCAAAGATCTAACTACTGAAGAAGAGCTATAGGGAAGACAATATCCATTGTTGGCTAGGCTGTTCCTGAGCCTAGTCCTAGATGGGGAAGAGGACAAAACCAGATCATGGACAGGGTGGATCTGTTGTATAAACAAGGCACAAATATGAAAACAATGCAGATCACTCTACCTTAGGTGCAAAGCAAAGTGCCAAGGCTATCTCCTCATCTGTAGAAGTCCATGGCACCATTGTTTCCTCCTTCAATGAAATATGAAGTAGGGTGCTCCTCCTTTTCCTATATAGCAATGATGGCTAACCTTTTCCGGATTGAGTGCCCAAAGCGTGTGCCCCACCCCCCTGTGCATGTGCACACACCCCGCACACCCCCTGCCCCCTCACACATGTGCACGGCCTCCCCATGCACCCCCTGCACATGTGCATGCGGGCCTCCACATGCGCCTTCCCCCCACACATCTGCAGCAGAGACCCGAAGACCAGCTGGCTGGTGGGAGGCACACGCATGCTGCATGCCACCTTTGGCATGCATGCCATAGGTTCTCCATCACAGCTATATAGGCTATATAGGTACCAGTGAGTTTCTTAGAAATAGATGCAAAGGAAGGAGAAAGAAGGATAACAATGCTTATAATTTTGGCTCAGGGTTCAAAACAGCTGCTTCATGAATGGAAGGTCCCAAATTTTACAAATAAAGGCAAATATACGTGTCCCAGGATAACACTGCAGGATCTAATCTGGATCGGTCACCAGGACCAGAGGTTTAGTCTTCTGAGCTTTTGTGCTGGAGCCCATCCTCAGGGAATTTCTTTCTAACAGAACATGTGCTTTGGGCTATTCTATGCATGGTATTTATATGATGCCTGGTTGTGTGTGGTTTTTTAGTTGTTGATTGGGGTGCTGATGGCCAGCTTTGCAGCACAAGGAAACAACAGCCAATGACTTAATAGCCAGCCATCAACACATACAAGTTCCTTGAGGATGGGCTCCAGCATGAGTCCAAAAACTCAGAAGACTATACCGCTGGTCCCGGTGACTGACCCACATTGGATCCTACCCCAAATTTCAACCATGTTTGATCCGCTGAGCTCCTGATCCATTATCCTCTTGGGAAATATTGGGTCTATGTGGAAATATTGAGACCATTCCTGGGAAGAATTGGCTAGTTTTAATACTCGATTTACAAAAGGGCAATGTAGTAAGATTTCTCCCTGCCACCTACTCTATCCATTATCTTCCGTCAGTTGCTCTTTTGCCATCTTAACTTACTTTAATCCTATTCTGGACATCTATATGTAATGTGTGAGCAGTTAGGCACACTTTGAAGCAAGGAATAACAGCTCTTTTTATTTCTTTCAGGCTACTTCTTAGGCTTATATAGTACTGCGAGGAATTTTGGGAAACAGAGATGATGCTTGAAGAATGAAAGCGCTCATACTGAAGATTAGACAAAATTGTGCACCGAATTTGATGCAATTACAATGCATTTGGATCCCAGTGCTTATAGTTTGTAATAAATCTGCTCACTATTGTCCATTTAATTCTTCCCACCCAGAACCCAAGACAGGCTGTCCATCATTTGGTAAAAATGATGTACACACATACAGACAAGCACACACACAAGCATGTTCTAACTAATTTGTCACAGATTTTCCCTCATTGCTAAATATGTGCTCATTTGAGAAAATTTGGTTCCACAATATAATTCAGCACAAGGGAGAGTGATTGAACAAGGAAAGCATACAAAAGCTTTTTGAACAAATAAGTAAATGTTTTGACAAAGGTGTGGCCCTCCAGAAAATAGGTATCTTCATAACTTTTGTCTCAATGATGGTTAAATACAGACTTATTGCCATTCTTTCAAGTTAAGAAGCTTAACAGGATCAGTGATAGTTTCTGCACTTTGATACCTGATAGTGTTTGAAACAGAGCAGGGACATTACATTACAGGAACATTACACAGAGCAGGGACCAAAAGAGACTTGTGCTAGATGGATCATGAAGTGATTAAGCCTAACTTGTTACAAGGGAGAACCAGCTCCAATAAACATTCTTAATGTTGAAAAGGTTAACTCCAAGTCATTACCAATTGTACCCATCCTCAATTTACAGCCTACAATTGGGACCAGAATTTCTGTTGCTAAGCAAGGTGTTGTTAAGTGAATCACACCCAATTTTACACCTTTTTTTGCTACAGTTATTAAGTGAATCACTGCAGTAGTCAAATGAATCATATGGTTATTAAGTGAATCCGATTTCCCCCATTGACTTTGTTTGTCCCAAGCTGGCTGGGAAGATAGCAGTAGCAATTACATGACTATAACTGTCATAAGCACATGCCAGTTGCCAAGTTAATTTTGATCATGTGACCATTGGGATGCTTGCAACTGTTCTAAGTGCAAGGACCGATTATAAGCATTTTTTTCAGTGCCATTGTGACTTCAAAATTCACTAAACAAATGGTTGTCAGTCAAGGACAACCTGTAGACCTTAAAGAGGAAGCAAAAGGAGAAGGAAGTGTAAAGGAAGACATACATTCCTTAAAACATATCAATATAAATTAAACTCTCCACGCATACATCCATTTCCCAAAAGAGTGAAAATGATTTGAAAAGCTTTTTAAAATGCCATGTCAGGTGCAAAGGATCAGAACCATATGTTAAGTTGCGGTTCAGAATATTTATTGCTCAAGCCTATATGCAAAAATCTTCAAATAAAGTTCAATATTAAATTGGCACCAGTTAAGGATCAACAGAACTCAAGAGGGGTTAGCCTTGGACCATTTGCAGCAACGTAATGGCTCTAAGCTGATGACATGCTTAACACCGATCCCCAGCTCTTCTCCTACATGTCATGCCTCAGGGTGATTTTCAGGGTGATTCCTCAGAAGAGGGGGATCTTCTGGTTTAGAAGGTCAACACCTCTGATGGGAAATATGAACTGGGTTCCTCAGGGTCTGTGTCTGTGCATCAGACATCTTCTAGAAGGCAAAACAAATATGCCAAAATGCTACTGCTGTTTTTTATGACAAAGCTCGGGGCAATCACAAGAATTGAACCATTGTTCTGAAATCCATACTGATGTGTATTCATTAATGCATTATCAACCGAGGCTTGTCTTGGCATGGGGAATTCTACCGCCATTCCTCTGGTGTTGCTGTAAAATCTTCTATAACACCCTAGGCGTTCTTGAGTATTGATTCTCTCCTTCTCCTACTTCCCATGCACATACTATATATTGTATGTGTTTGAATTAGCAGTTTGCTAATATTTTTGCTGGAATGTTTTTCGATTCAGGTTAGTGAGAAAAAATGCTTTTGCTTTTTTATTATTACTGCTATTATTAAACATAGAAAGTTTCAGCAGAAATTATTCTATGTGTGATATTTACAAGCTGGCAATTGATCTCCTGTTTTTCATTTTACAATGTTCTCTCCAGTTATTTTTGGGCTTCCTGGCTTTCCATACTTCAGTTAAATCCCAGGGAAAGGAAAGTGTAACCAGGTTTAAGAAGAGAGGACAATCAGAGAAACCACAGATTGATACAGAGGGGGGTAACAAAAAAAAACAACAACAGCACCTTCTTTTACATAATTATAAAGAAATCTGACCCTTTCAAGGAAATAAAAAGGTGTCTCCAAGGGAAAGAAAGATTGGAAAAAATGGAGAACAAATTTCATTAGAAAATTCTGGATTTTATAAAAAAAATTGCACATCATCAAGGAGTTATGAAGGTCTAGTTGGTCCCCTATCAAATAAATCAATCACTAAATTTCTATATCCAAATGAACATGTATACTTCATGCTTTGTAAATGGGTATGAGATTGTTTCTGCTAATAAAGTTTAATAAATTATTATGGTTAGATAGTCAGCTGGATGTTTAGACTGGATCTGGCATTTTTATCATTTTTATCTACCTATCTCGTCTATTCCAAGAATTTGGGAGAGACATTGGTTGTTTAGTAATACTAAAGACATTATTGCAGGATATAAATTGCTCCAAATAAAACTATCTTTTACAATTGACCAGGGTGATTTTGAAAATACCAATGGTATTCAAATGGTGTTCCAGATGTTTTAGTCTTGCACCCAAGGTGGCTATGACTATTGGTACCATCTTTACTTTATTTTGCTGCAGTTATTCTTTTTGTATTTGCAGATCGTATATTTTGTGATTTTCTTCAGCTCTTTTTCTTCTATTCTGCTGTCTCTAGGAGTTGCAGCATCTCCTATCCAGACTTTTTTGTCATCCTTATCAACAATTGTTGTTGATATTCTGGGGTGTTGCATGACAGATGCTTGTCTATTTGAATTCTAAAGTCCCAGAGCACTTTAACTTCTTCATGTTCTATTTCTTTGTCTATTTTGGAGTTCCTACCCATACTTGCTTGTAGGCAAAAGGTATTTCTTGCAAATATTCTAATAAACCGTTTTGCTCCTTCATATTGTATTGTTTATAGTGTGTCTCTGTGATCTTCTTGTAGGAGCATAATAATCATCCCAATGTGCTGCTGCTGCTGCTGTTGTTATTCCCACTCTCATTCCTGACTAGCCTGCCAATCAACCCTTTGTACCTTCTATCAGCTACCCGTTTGGCAAGTGATGTAAAATGGAGTTGGCATTTCAAGGACTTTGAAGGGCAAATATTTGCGCAGGGATGGAATCTGCTAAAGCTTGAAATGGTGGTGAAATATTCTGATCTCCTGTGAGCAGTAGGATAGAAATAAGGCAAAATATGGGTTTCTTCTAAAATGTTTGCTACATAGTTCAGAAATATGAAAAGATAACATCTATTGCTTCACACCAACTATCCTAATTGAAATTATATGCAGTGAATGTGACAGTTTTGTTGTGTTATGCTTGGTGTAATGAACATGACAGCTTTGTTGCAGTGTGTGTGAAAGCACACACTTATTTATGTAAAATCACAACTTATTTATAAGCAGAAATATGCACATTTCAGCTGCAGCTTCCCACAGCACAAAGAACAACCTAAATAACTAAAATAAGTTGTTAGTTATCCATTCAATCCATTCAGGTGTACTTGCAATTGGTGGTAATACTGTACATGAGTACACCACCAGATTGAAGCCCAACTACATAAAACAATATTTTTAGCAATTTATTAAAATGATCTTTCTCTGTAATCCTGGCAACCAGCAATGCAAATAATGGCCTAGACAGCTAAATAGTCTGGTCTTTTTTAAAGAATTAGCAATTTGGACCTTAGGCTACAAAGAAAGGATGTTCCTTATATGATCATAAATATTCCTTTGCCTCTTCTACATGATGTCATTTTTCCATCATTTTGGAATGAATACATACAGGAGGAATAAATGCCTTCCAATGAGAAAAATTATTCTCAGAGAATGTCCCGTTTTGTATTTTAAATCACAGCATTATCATAACTACAGGATTCAAATGAAATTTGCTCCTGCTGCCCTGATCCTAAATGCATTTACTTGGGAATAAGCATCTTCATGAAAATTATTATTATTGGTATGAATAAATTGAGTCTCTATTGCAACGTAGAAACCTATTTGGCTCTCATTATACAATAAGTTTAAAAAGGATGCTTCAAAATCTACAGGAAGGTTCAAGTAATGAATTCAGCATCTGCTCCCATTACTTACTCTTTGGGACCATCAAGACCCAAATATGACCTTGGGAAAGCTTCAGCAAACCTCACTGTTCTCCAAACCGGGTTCTGCATTTTCCTTTTGTATACATTTTATGAGCTGCCTATGTATTTTGGATGCATAGCAGCTAAAAGGGAGGGAAACATGCAGGGAAAGAAAGGAGAGGAAGAAGGAGATGCATCTTTAATATCTGCAGGCTGTCTTCAGTCTCAGCCTTCCTAAATAGAAGAGGTTAAATATATTACCGCCATTATACTCTACAAGGAACACATTCCATAAAAACCAAGGTGCTGTAAATTATACAAATATGATGCTAACAAGGCAGGAAATGCACTGCTAATGAGGTCAGTGATGGAACTCCTGCAGTTCTGCAAATCATGTGCCAACCCTAACACAGGAGGTGTAAAGCTAGCCTGGGTCAGCATTTTTTTAGTGGCTTTCATAGCCTGCTGTTCGGAGGATAGTTATACACAGGTAGTATGAATATATATATATATATATAAATATATATATATTCCCCCTTATCTTGTCTCCTTATTTATGTGTCAAATAAGCAAGGCACCAGACAAACCCGCTTTGTGTTAATGCACTTTGCTGTTATGTCTATTGTTCTGCAATGTAGAGCTCACTTATACACTTATCAGTGTGCACACACACACACTCACATTCACACTCAAAGCATCAATCTCTTAGCAGAGAGTACCTCATACATTCTGTTTTCTTCTTGTAAGGCTGGTATGTATATAGAAAATAATAAATATAATTAATCCAAACATTTCAGGAAACACAGTAAGAAGTTGCAAATTTACATCCAGTTTTCCAGCTGTGACCAAAGCAACAACAATTCTAGCCAAATGAAAACACACATGTTGTGGCATCACACAAATGCCACCATTATGGACTTGTGTCTTGATATCTAACAGAAGAGCATAAGCCATAGCATTTGCATGATGCTATTATTGCGCATATTTCATAATTTGCCTTCCAGGCCTACGAACATTCTGGCAATTTTTCTTCTGAGGCATGATGTGTATGGTTTGATTCTTGTAACAACAAACTTGTGAAGTAGACTAAGCCAGACACAGTCAGACACCTTCAAAAAGGACTGAGGTTTTAAATATAAATCGTCTGAATTGTTGTCCATTTAAGAATTTCCCTACTCTGTATCTAAGTTAGAACTGAGGTAATAGAATACAAAGAGAAGGGGTGACAGTCTAGTTGGTTCCCTATCAAATCAATCAATCAATCAATCAATCAAGAGAAGGGGTGATCATACAATTTCAACCTTTTTGGGTTGACGTAAACTTTCTTGAAGACCATTTCCTCCAACTAGAGTCAACCCATCCAGAAGAAAATACTTCAGGAAGTGACTGGTTCTGAAGCCAGCAAGCTTCAGGAATGGCTCAGGGATTTGGAACAGCTTCTGTCTGGAAAAAAAGATTGGCCCCATCTGTTTGAGCTTTTCAGAAGTTAGCCAAAAGAGATTTGCTCCATGGTTTAAGACAGATTGTATTCCTTTATGAATTAGCATCCTAAAATTTTGCTTTGACAAGAGTGCATATACACATGTGCCTTTTATAAGCATGGTCTCAAGAGATCTAAGAATGATTTAGTAACACTAGATGCTTAGATGGAAGAATAGTTGAACTGCAACCCTTGCTGAAATGAGCATCTTCATCTCACATTTTCCCTATTAGGAGGAATCCTCAGGTATTGAACTAAAACTGCTATCTCAATTGCTACCTCTAAGATTTTGTAGATTTTATCAAGTAGATAGACAATTACTCAAATATCAGTGAAGAAAAAGAAAATCAAGGGACTACTATAAATCAATTCACTTGAGTTCACTCAAGATACAAATAACCATGTTCAAATCATCATATTTTGGACATATCATCTCTATCTTTACTTTACTTTACTTTACTTTACTTTACTTTACTTTACTTTACTTTACTTTACTTTACTTTACTTTACTTTACTTTACTTTACTTTACTTTACTTTACTTTACTTTACTTTACTCATTTCACTTCACTTTACTTTACTTTATTGTCATTGCACCTCGTACAACGAAATTAAATGCCATCTTCAGTGTTGGAAAAGGTAGGAGAAAAAGAAAGAGGATGACCAATAGCCAATTGGATGACCCATTTCGAGGAGCAATAGGTGAACCATTGAACGACCAAGTTGACTACAGATTGTCCTAGAGAATATCTTCACTTCACTTCACTTCATTTCACTTCACTTCACTTCACTTTATTGTCATTGCACCTCGTACAATGAAATTAAATGCCATCTTCAGTGTTGGAAAAGGTAGGAGAAAAAGAAAGAGGATGACCCATTTCGAGGAGCAATAGGTGAACCATTGAACGACCAAGTTGACTACAGATTGTCCTAGAGAATATCTTCACTTCACTTCACTTCATTTCACTTCACTTCACTTCACTTTATTGTCATTGCACCTCGTACAACGAAATTAAATGCCATCTTCAGTGTTGGAAAAGGTAGGAGAAAAAGAAAGAGGATGACCAATAGCCAATTGGATGACCCATTTCGAGGAGCAATAGGTGAACCATTGAACAACCAGGTTGACTACAGATTGTCCTAGAGAATATCTACAGTATCTAAATGGACACGAAGAACCCTGTCCTGATGGGATATAATTAACTAAACAAACAAACAATAGATTCACTTTTGGTCTTCTTTTTCTTTTCTGCATGATGCAGAAATTTCAGAATTTATTCTAATCACGTTACCGAGCTGAAGGGTCTGTAAATTATTCCCAGACTCAATTTTCTGCCTGGAAGACCGAGTATCCTCTATCATCATATTATAACCAGTTAAGTTGGGAACAGAGGCCTGCTTCTAAGGTTCCTAATATGGCTTTCCAATTATATTTTTTCCTTCCGAAATCTCTGTATGAAGAGTGTCACTCATATTTCACAGATGATCACAATGGTGATGCTGGTACCTAAGAGGCAGGAATCCTGCTGCAAAATGAAATGGTATAGGGTCTCCTCTTGAGCAGGGGGTTGGACTAGAAGACCTCCAAGATCACTTTCAGCTCTATTCTGAATTAAAACTAGGGATTGGAGACCACTAGTGGTCCACAGTTGCTTTAGCAGCCAAAAGCAAATTGCTGCATAGATACTTTTAGGGATTCTATAGAGTCCTTCTTCATTTTAAATAAAAAGATTGAACAAGAAAGAATAGAATTTGGTGACTGCAGTAGTGTATTGACATCACAGGCTTACAGGGGGGAAATCCATATTAAATAGACATGATATTTATTTTAACTAACCAGCTGCTAATTATGACAGTACATTTTCAAGGCTGAACAATTCAACACTAATATTTTATACAGTTTATTAAGCTTCCCCTATGCCTATTCCTAATAGCCAAAATATTAATGGCAGGCACTCTTCATTTCCACAGGTGTTTTGCTATTGCAAGGTAAGTAGTCTATAATAGGGAAATTAAATGCCATAGCTAGGCAAAATGTAGGATAATTAACCAATAATGTTTCCTTGTTCCAAGGCCAATTTTCCCCCAACACAACCTATTGCAAACTTCAGCAGAAAATGATTTTGAATTTCTTTCACCTTGCTCCTAAGCAGAGATCTATGCATCAGCCAGCAGAATTAGAAGTGAAACTATTCTAAGGCAGATTTCTTTTCTTTTCTTTCTTTTTTTTTAAAGAAAGTCATTCATATAAAATAGGGCAATGGTAGATTATATGCTTTGGCAATGCATGGCCAAAGGCCATATGTACCCATATGATCTGTTTCAACTCCTCAGGATGTCAT